TCACCTGTAGAGAGTTGTCGGACTCCAGTATATTATGCTGAAGTTTTGTAGAATATTTGAAATCTAATAACAATTGCTGAGTGTGATAGAAATACTTTTGTTCAAAATATACCCATATTTAAATGGAATGGCTAACGTCTGATAGATTTTTAAACCGTGACTAAATATTAATAACATAGGGTAAAAAGTGGCTAATCCAATATTACAACTTCAAATAATTAATCAACAAATATAGAAAAACTACCTAGTTTGGCCTTTTTGAGCAAAGCTGTTACTAATATTAGATAATTCATAAATTACTATAAACATTAACCAAATACTAGTAATATTAGACCAAATTGACTACTTGTATGTTTCTCCATCTCTTTAGGCTACGTCGGTTTTCTCCGGTCTTTCTTCCTCAAGCCGTCAATTGGCAAGAAAAAAACTAATTATTAAAAAGAAACCACTGAGAGCACAACTTAGCCATTTTCTCCCTTTGCAGTACAGTTAAACCTCTCTATAACAGCCTCGTTTGTTCTGAATATTTTTGGATATTATAGCGAAGCGTTATTATAGAGAACATATATTATAACATAACATGAAAATTGGTTCCGTAAAAGCTTAACTTTTATAGTGAAATGTTATTATATAAAAATGATGTTATAGAGAGGTCTGACTGTACTTATCAACTTTTGAGTGCATGAATTATTCGAAACCGGTTTAATGAATTGAATTGTAGAAAATAAAGCTGATTAAGGACTACAATCATTCTATCAGAGCTACTGTTACTGTTAAAAACGTTATTTGCCACGAGCTTGCTCTCTCTGGCTATGTTTTTAAGGATGCGTTATAAGTTTATTATTTCTACGGAAAAGGTCCAAATATGCCCGTGAACTATTTGAAATAGGACAAATATGCCCGTCGTTAATAGTTTGGCCCAAATATGCCCAAACCGTCCAATAGTTGTGCAAATCTGTCCTTTTTTTAACGGAAACAGTATTTTTTTTAATTAATTAAAATCAAAATATTTTTTTCCAGTTTTTAGAAAATATCGCTTTAAAAAAACTGAAAAATAATTTCTAAAACAATTGTTTTTGTAAAAACTAAAAAATAATTGAAAAGCAATTTTCTAAAGCAATGTTTTTGTAAAAACTGAAAAAAAACAAATATTTTCTTTTTATCAGTTTTTAGTTTAAAAAAAATTCAGTTTTTATCCAGTTTTTAGAAAATTGCTTTCCAGTTTTTTTTCTAGATTTTACAAAAATCATTGTTTTAGAAAAAAAAATATCTGTTTTTTTTAAAGCATTTTTTTTTTCGTTTTTTCAGTTTTTATGAAAAAATAAATTCAGTTTTTTTTCAGTTTTAACAAAATATTGTCTTTGAAAAATTGCTTTTAAATTTTTTTCCTGTTTTTTCAAAAACATTGTGATATTTTTTCATTTAAGAAATTTGTTTCATTTATAAGTTAATTCAGTTTTTTTTGAGTTTTAAAAATACTGAGCTAGGATTTTTTTTGTTTTTAATTGTTTAAAATATTTCATTAAGATTTTTTTTTTTTTTCATTGTAAAAATAAATTCATTTTTTTTTTCAGTTTTTACAAAAACAATTGCTTTAATAAATTGCTTTTTTAGATTTTATTCTGGTTTTTTACAAAAACATTGCTTTTAGAAAATATTTTTCCACGTTCTTTTGTAAAACTGGAAAAAAAATATTTCCATTCTTTTCTTTCCAGTTTTAGTAAAAAAAACTTTTAGAAAAATTTCTTTAAGAAAAAAATTATTTGATTTTAATTAATTAAAAAAATACTAGTTTGTTAAAAAAAAGGGCAGATTTGCACACTATCGGACGGTTTGGGCTATTTGGGCCAAACTATTAATGACGGGCATATTTGTCCTATTTCAAATAGTTCACGGGCATATTTGTACCTTTTCCGTTATTTCTAAATATAACGTTACAAACCATAGTTTGCCAATTGACTGTCAATCTTTTTCCCCCTTTAATAACAATTTTCATATGTGTTAACGTTTTAAAGGCAATGTTCATATGCCTTTTTAAAATGTAAATAATTAATTATTGTGACTTATAAGTAATACCTTTTATATCATTTTTAAATACATAAATTTTATTTAAAAAACTTAAAAACTTCATATCAGAAATTACCGTAAAAAAATAACTCTCAAAATTCAAGCTGTGACACATAACTTAATTCATATTTAGAGACATAATAAAATGCAATTACAATTTTTTTCACATATATAACTTTTGTTGCGAGGAGAAATACTTTTAACAATGTTTTAAAAGCGGGGGCGTGAGGTAGGCGTTTTACCTCTGACGAGGCGAGGCGTAAGCCCTTGAACATGGGGCCGTCAAAGTCCAAGGATCTTTAAATTTTACTATTTTAAGAATATGTATAAAATAAAATAATTGAAAATTTTAAATTAAACTAACTCAAAAATTATAACAAATGATATATTTAAAATATTTAAAATTTATAATACAACTATGAATAATACGAAAAGTATGACATATATCATAATATGCAAACTAGCTGCAACATCGTTACAATTCAAATCAAAAGTAATGTATTAGATACGAAATCTTATATGTATCTCTCAAGAAGTAATGAATCTTGAAAGAATTCGATATAAAATTGTATATTTTTCTTAAAATAACTCTTTTATTTAAACAATGCTTTCTATTTGAAAGAGAATTACATAAAGCATATTCACAATTTAAATATGATTATCTAAGCATCACTTATTTTAATTTTCAACAAGTTAATAAAATGACAACATATTCACCATATAATAGCATGATAACTAATTATTTGTAAATAGTTACTACCTAATACTCAACTATTAAATTAATAAGTATAGTATCTCGTAAACATAAAAAAAATATTTTAAAAAATATTTAAGAAATTTAGACTATTTATAGTAAAAGACATTAGCGCAACAAATTTTCGTAAGACGAAAAATGAACTGCAACAAAAATAATAGTAAGAAAAAGAGATTTTATTGATAAATATTTGTGAGTACAATTCTATGTATCCCTTGATTTCTCTATCATACAATTCTCCCGTGATTCGAGGGCTGAGAGCGTCTTTCCCGAATGTAGGATAATGCAGACCTCCTGTGATGTATTTAATCGCCAAGAACGTCGAGCAGCCAACTTTGGTTGTTACGGGTTGATCTCGGGAAGAAACTCCGTTGATCACTCCTTGTTGAAGAACTAAGCACTTGATGATTGATCTCTTTGTGTTTGTGGATGCCTTCACCAATGTGCGGAGTGGTTCTTCTCCAACTCTGAATGTCACTTGAGAGTTATGTAACCCCTCTATTTATAGTTCTAGAGGATGGACAATCAAGCTACATAAGACTCCCTTGCTTGATTTTGATTGGCCCATGTTATTTTAGCCACTTGGCGACTTGTGATTGGTTCTTGCTTTTTTACTTGGATTGTCACATCATTTAACACGTGGCGTCACTATTTGGCCTGAAGTTACTGGATATGTTTCTAGTCACATGGCATAAGTCTGGGCTTAAGATGAAATGAACTTTAGGGCCTGAAAATAATAAATGGACTAATTTAACTTGTAAACCCAAATTAATTATTTAACCTAATTGAATTTAATCCAAATTTTGTATGGATTAAACCCAATAAATTTTATATGTTTACAGATGCCCCCTACTTCAAGACTTGTCGGGGCGTAGGCTTGTAAAACGACTTCAAAGACAAGACTTGAAGTATGTAGCAAAGGACCTCTTTGGTTTTTTTTTTTTTTTTTTTGAGAAATTAATTTGATTCTACTTCTAACTGAACTTTGAATGATATGTTTCCTGTCCCTCTTGAAGAGAACTTCCCGAAAAAATTTGCTAGACCAAGAAATTTATTAAGGTCTTGCCATACTAATCACTTCATACAATTGCTTTTAGTTGTTGTATTGTTGTCTGACCGTAATAATTAAAGAAAGTATTGTTGCCAAAATTACTTCACCCAATACAATGTTTTATTGGATTGAATCTTTTCCTTTTTTGCTGTTGGCTTAATTTGACTAATTTCCATCAGAACACGACAATTTCCTTGTTTGCACGCCCTGGTGACTTGAGTGCCAAGAATTCCTTTAATTCTCTTCCCTTTCTTTATATAAATTTAGACCTCTCTCCCTGCATTGTAGTCACACCAGAAACCTTCGGTATTTTAATGAAAGCAGTCCTCCTAAATTTTCCTTTATGTTTCCTTGTTTTGTTTTTTTTTTTTTTTTGTTCTTAACCTTTGTTAACGCATGGTTTGCTCCCTTTTTTGTTATTGCAGCAATTTGTTTAAACTAGCAAAAGCGAGAACTAGAAGCAAGCCAAGGACTTCGATACCGCCCATCATTGTGTAATTGACACAGAGAACGCAAAATCTGAATGTTCAAACTGGGGGCTCCTGAATCTCCTTTTCCTTTTATTTCTTGCAGGAATTGACATCACCCAGGAAGGAAGTTTGAATCTGCAAACTTTCAGCAATTTGGATGGTTGTTTTGATATTAAACTTGGTCATAATTTCAAGCTTCGTGCCGTTGGCACCGATGTACTTGCTGCTGAATCGGGAGCTTCGTGCAATTGGCATTGATCCTTGTAGAACCAAGAAGCTTCGTGCTATAGGCACCGATACATGCCATGCTGAACTAGACTGTTGTGCAGCTTCCGATGTCTTTCTTTTTATGTCAAACTAAAGCGCCATGCTGCCGAATCGTCGTGCTATTGGCACCGTATCCACAGAAACTTCACGTTGTTGGCATCGAGGATTTCCAAATATTTTTCCTTTGCAGGCTTTTGCGAGAGTACCAACGGTCATTGATATCCCTAGGAAGATGAATTGCAAGCAAACCACTAGTCTCTTTGTTGCGGCTCGGCGAGAAAAACAACTGGAGTAGGCTTTTTCAACTTCGGCGAGCAAGCACTTGGCGCGTCTCTACTGTTTTGACTTCATAGCATTTCATGCTCGCACTGAAAAAAAATCATTTCTCGACCTAGGAGTGTCCAAACTGCAATCCGCTTGGTTCTGCAGAATCAAAACTTGCACTACAGTGACATATCCAAAATTTGGGGCCAAATTCCATAAGGACAAGTCTGAATGAACTTTTGAAGGCGATGCACAAGTCTGTCATTTCGGCTTCACAACACTGCATGCTATTATTGGAACGCGCATATCTCAAGTTAGGAGCATCCAAATCGCGAGCCGTCTGCGCCATTGGAAAGAAGACTCAGAGATAATGAAGCCTTCAAAATATCATAGAAGAATTCCAAGCCGATCGTCCGCAGAAACTTTCTGAACTTGACCCATCTGTTCGCGAAATTGCTTTTCAGCTTTGCGCGCTATGGTAGAAAAATTCATATCTCGAGCTAGGAGACTCCAAATTGTGATCCGTTTGCGCCTTTTGAAAGTACACTCATAGATCTGCAATACATAAGAGTTTCGTGGCAGAACTCTTTCCGAGCTAGAAACAGAAAATTCTCAAAATCCACCTAGCTGCAGTAACTTTCAGATTCGTGTAGTTCCGGCAAAAAAAATCATATCTTGAGATACAAGTGTCGGAATAACAATCCGTTTGCACCGTTAGAAAGAAAACTCAGAGACCTGAAGGACCTATAAATTTCATGGCCGAACTCCTTTCGGGCTATCAACAGAAAATTCGAGACATCGACTTAACTGCAGTGAACTTTCAGATTTGCGTACCTTCAACGAAAATAATTGTATCTTGAGCTAGGAGTATCGGAATTACAATCCGTTTGTTCTGTTGGAAATAAAACTCCTAGAGCTGCAACACATAAAAATTCCATCCCGGAAATCTTCTCGTCCTAGAAACAGAAAAATATTGAAAGTCAAACTGACCGCAGGGAACTTTCAGGCTTGCGTGCTTTTGGCCAGAAAAACTGTATCTTGAACTAGGAGCGTCGACATCACCAACAGTTTGATCCTATGAAATTCGGACGTTGAGAACTATAGTCTCGTTGAAGATGAAGCTCCATTCATTCTTAGTTAACCTAACAAATATTTTTGAAGTTGATTTTACAGCCTTGTAATGGATTCGGCTATCATCACGAATCTTATCTCTTTGTTTATTTCTTTTGCAGACTTGCGAAAAAGTTCGATGAGTCCAGATATCAGTCTGAGATGTCACACAAGATGCGGAGTCACCCCTTCACCAACTTTTGCACTTGATTTGTTGACGGTCTTGAAGTTTATCAATGGCAGCTCCCGTGGTGATTGAAGGTTTTTTCAAGAGAGATGACTTCTTATATACGAGGCATTGAGGATAGTGTATTAAAATGTGGAGACGTCATATGGACTTGGAAGAAGCATTCAAGACGAGTCAGCCACAAAGCCTAGTTTACGATTATTTTCATGACTTAGGCTTTTGTATAGGAAAACGTCTAATTCCTTTTGTCTCTACATTTTTTTTGATGTAACAACTTTTGTACTATTGAAGCAATAAAACATCTTTTATACTTCAAAAAAAATTGTCTCTTTTCCTCATAGATATGTGCCTCTACACTTGGAAGAATTAATGTAATGATCCGATGACGCCAAACTTTTGTTTTTTTTAAAACTCATGTGACTGAACTTAGAATGAAACTCTAAGCTGCCTACGTACCTCGGTGAAGAGGATCAAGTCATAACGTAGTTCAGAGGGATGAGTTTTTTTTTATGTCCTAATTTTTGCCTAGGCCGCCTCTCACGAGGTTTTCAACCTAGCGGACTCTTTTTTTTGTTTTGGCCGTACACAGTTTAGACTCATGCATCAAGGAGTGTAGCAATGTGCAGTTTAAGCTCATGCATCAAGGAGCTTCATGACTTGCAGTTTAGGCTCGTGCACCGAGGAGCGTAGGTGACTTTCATGGGAAGTATTGCTTCAGAAATTTTCCGTTGATCGGACCAACTCTGAGACCATCCTTATCGACAATTTTGTATGCGCCATTTGAATAGGCTTCCTTCACAACATATGGCCCATCCCATTTTGAGGTAAACTTGTCACCTATGCGTTTGTTGAGGATTATGGGTCGTCGAACAGTTAGGACTAAGTCTCCCACTTGGAATGATCGTGGCCGCACTTTCTTGTTGAAAGCTCTAGCTAGTCGAGCTTGATAGCACTCCAATTTTTGTTGCGCTTCCAATCTTTTCTCATCCATTTCCTCTAACTCTGCTAGGCGAAGTTGAGCATTCTCTTCGGACGTGAGTCCTTCTTGGATTGCTATCCGCAGTGATGGAATTTGTTGCTCCAACGGAAGGACTGCTTCCACGCCATATACCAGAGAGTAAGGAGTTGCTTGTGTAGCAGTTCTGAATGTTGTCCGGTATGCCCACAAAGCTTCACCAATTCTCTCATGCCAGTCTCTCTTGTTCTTTGCAACAACTTTCTTCAAAAGGTTACCAAGCGTCTTGTTAAAAGCTTCAGCAAGGCCGTTGGCGGGTGCATTTTAAATTGAAGACTTATGTTGTTTGAAACTGAACTTCTCGCATAGACTCTTCACGAGCTTGTTGTCAAATGGCGTTCCATTATCAGTGATTATGTATCTTGGTATGCCGTACCTAAAAATTATATATGACTTGATAAAATCGACAACAGTTTCCTTTTTCACCTCCTTGAGTGGAACAGCTTCAGCCCATTTAGAGAAGTAGTCCGTAGCGGCCAATATGTACATATGTCCCATTGATGACTTTGGAAGTGGTCCAACAACATCAAGTCCCCATGCATCAAAAGGCCATGAAGCTACAGTTGGGTGAAAGGGCTCTGGAGGTTGGTGGATGTAGTTTGCATGAAATTGACAAGCTTGACATCTTTTGGCATAATCCATGCAATCCTTCACCATTGTCGCCCAGTAGTAGCCCATCCTCTTGATGCGAAAATGGAGCTTGGGACCAGATTGGTGTGCTCCACATGAGCCAGAATGTGCTTCCTCCATCGCTTGGCGGGCTTCTTCTTTGTCAAGATATCGCAAGAATAGTCCTTCAAAAGAGCGGCGAAACAATGTCTCCTTATAGAAGATGAATCGTGGTGCTCTTCGCTTGATGTCTGTTCTTTGTCGCGGATCTTCAGGTAACTTTCCATGTTCAAGGTACTCTATCAGTGGTTGCCTCCAATCTTCTTCTTCAATCACTCGAACAGACGTATGATGGCTTTCGTTGACTTGAAGATCCAGAAGTCTAGGAATAACCCATCGATGACACACATATACCTTTGTTGACTCATTCTCTCCAAGTACCATCGTCGTGGCCAAGTTAGCCAAAGCATCAGCCTTGCGATTTTCTTCTCTTGGGACGTGGTTTAAGAACACTCGGTCGAATTTTTCAAGTAAACCAGAAGCGTATTCATGGTAGGGCAATAGATCTTCCTTCTTTACCTCGTAATTCCCCAAAAGTTGGTTGATGATCAGCTTGGAGTCGCCGTAGATCTCCAACATTAGAATCTTCATTTCCAATGCCATTTTGAGACCGACGATCAGGGCTTGGTACTCTGCAGCATTGTTGGAGCATGTTTCACCTAAAACAAAGGAGAATGGCAGGACTTGTCTTTCTGGAGAAATCAACACAACATCTGCCCCCGCACAATTACGACGTGCAGATCCATCAAATAACAATGTCCATGGTGGCAATTCTTCGATAAACAAAACGTCTTCATCTAGAAACTCATCCGAAAGCTCCCATTCTGCCGGAAGAGGGTGATCAGCCAGAAAATTGGCTAGTGCTTGTCCTTTCACAGCTTTTTGAGGTGTGTATGTGATCTCATATTGGTTAAACAATATGGACCATCTTGCTAGGCGTCCAGAAAGAACAGGTCGAGTCATCACAAACTTCACGGGATCTGCTCGAGAGATGAGTTTGATGGTGTATGCTTCAAAATAATGCCTTAGCTTCTTTATTGCATAAAGTAACCCTAAGCATATCTTCTCAACAGGCGTATAGTTCAACTCAACTCCTATCAGAGTTCGACTAAGATAGTACAAGGCTTGTTCCTTTCCTTCCTCATTCTCTTGAGCAAGTAGTGCTCCAAGTGAACGTTCCTGTGCCGCGATGTAGAGTATCAATAGCTTCCCAAGCATTGGCGCCCCTAACACAGGTGGGTTCAGCAAGTATGTTTTGATGCTTTCAAAAGCATTTTGACATAACTGATCCCAATGAAAAGGGATATCCTTTCTCAATAGATGATTGAAGGGTTGACACCGTCCGGCTAGATTAGAGATGAACCTCCGGATGAATGCTAAATTTCCTTGGAGATTTTGAAGCTCTCTTAAGTTCTTTGGCCTGGGCATTTTCTGAATGGCGTCGATCTTTGCAGGATCAACTTCAATTCCACGATGACGCACAATGAAGCCAAGAAACTTTCCTGAGGTAACTCCAAATGCACACTTGAGTGGATTCATCTTCAGGTCGAATTTTCTTAACCTTTCAAAAACAATTCGAAGGTCTTCAAGGTGATAACGCCTATTCTTCGTCTTCACCACCAAGTCATCGACGTAGCATTCTACCCTCGTATGAAGCATGTTATCAAATATGTTTTGCATCACGCGTTGGTAGGTGGCACCAGCATTCTTCAGACCGAAGGGCATCACTTTGTAGCAATATATCCCTTTTGGAGTTCGGAAAGCAGTACACTCCTCATCCTTTGGAGACATCCTGATTTGATTGTATCCGGAGGACCCATCCATGAATGACATAGCTTCATGCCCTGTTGTAGCATCAACCATGAGTTCAATAATTGGTAATGGGAAGTCATCTTTTGGGCATGCCTTGTTTAGGTCTCGAAGTCAACACAAACACGTATTTGACCATTCTTCTTCTTGACAGGTACAATATTCGATGTACATGATGGGTACTTCACCTCTCGAATAAACCCCGCATCGATGAGCTTGTTGACTTCACCTTCAATTTGGGACACAAGCTCGGGTCCAAACATGCGTTGTGACTGCTTCACAGGGCGTGCTCCACTTTTGATCCCTAAATGATGAACAACTACCTTAGTACTAAGACCGGGCATTTCTTTATACGACCAAGCGAAGACATCTTTGTATTCGGTCAACAACTTGGAGTATTCCTCCTCCTCCTGAGGCGTAAGAAGCGCACTAATGAAGGTGGGTCGTGGATCTTCCAGAGTGCCTAGATTGAGTTCCTTAAGCTCATCCACAGTCGATTGTCCGCCATCTTCTAGTTGAGGGGGAGCCTCGTGTACTTCATCATCAACGTCAAGGCATTGGCTATCTTCCACAGTTATGTGATATGATGTTTCCACAAAGTCTATGTTTTCTGTTTGACTTCCTTGGATAGTCTGCACGGCTTCTTTCTCTTTCTCAACTTCTTTGCGAGGCTGGCGAGTGTACACAATGGTTCTCCTTTGCACCTTCAGTGGACCTTCTGTGGATATTGACAAAACAGACTTCCTCTTCATACGTGACGGGAAAGCACTACATATTTCTCTGTCAGCAACAACTTCAAAATGATCCCGCTCCTCATGGACTTTCTCTTTATGTTTCGACAGTATCTTTCTAGATGGTGACTTCCTTGTGGTCCCTAGGCGACAAAAGACAGAGGTCTTTGAGGTAGTGGAAACTTATTTTAGATGTTTGGAAGATATACTTTCACCTTTGTGACTTAGCCTTTCAAACACCGAGACCGAAGGAGTTGAGCCTCCAATGCGATCAAATACTGAAGTCCGTTGTTTTATTTTCTTGCCCTTAACTTCCTTCATCTACTCTACCGAGGTGTATTGTGATGAAGCTATCTCTTTGCTTCTCTTTGATGAAATTCGAAGAGGCTCTGCCAAACTGAACCCCAACCCAAACTTTGGAGTGGCAACGTAGTGCCCTTGTTTTCTCAACTTCATTTGGGACTCATTAAGCCCATGTATCTTTTCACCAGTGACTTTATCTTTGAGTTCTCCTAATTGTGATGGATTGGACAAGTCATAACCAGACTTTTCAAGCAGCATGAAGGCCTTAGGATCGTAGTGCCCTTTTATTTTATCAGCTTGAAGATTGCCTTTAGCAGACCCACCCGTCACGGATGGGATTTGTGCAACTGGGAAAGTCATATGCTCCTTCAAATGTTGGATATCTTTGTGACTCACTTGCTTTTTTGGAGTACATTCCTGTAGCAAAGGTTGCCCTTTCTTTCGACGCTCACGTGGAACATAGCGAAAAACCAGATGCTCCTTAGTCGTTGTTTGCATATGACCTTTAGATGACAATAGCTTAATGGAGGCTTCTTCTGTTCCCTTCTTAGGAACCTTGGTGGTAGTCCATTGAGCCTTGTTTTCCTCTTTTGACTTGGCATCATCTTCGTCATCTGATGATGGTTTCTCTACTTTCGATTCACAAGAATCAAGGTAGAATTTTGCGTCTGCAAAGTATGACTCCGTCTCGGTGAAAGGCTTGATGTCTGCATCAATTTTGACTATCTCACCATCTCTTCTGTACTTCAGACAATGATGCAAAGTAGATGATACCACCCCGTTCTCATGGATCCAAGGACGTCCAAGCAACAAGTTGTATGATATTTTCGCATCTATGACGTGAATCAGGGTGTTTGAATTCATCTCACCAATGGATAATCCTACGCGGATCATACCTATGGTCTCGTTGCCATTGGTTGAAACCTTGGATTGTTAGGTTACTTTTGGATAGCTCATCGATAGAGATCCCAAGCTTTTTTAGCACCATCTTTGGCATGATGTTGACAGCCGAACCATCATCAACAAGTATGCGATTGAGATGTTGTTCCCGAATGGACCCTACAACAAACAAAGGTCTGTTATGTGGCTTAGACCCCAGCAGCAAGTCATCATCTGTGAATGAAATTGTTGCACAACATGTGACAACTTTTCCGTTATCATGATGTTCTTGTGTTTTCATTGGAGCAGGCTCATCGTTGCTTTCCGTTGTTTTGTCAGTACTAGAAACTACATGAGTTGCACCAACGTGACTTCCATGAAAGAATTTTCCAGGAAAGAATTCATGCAATGTGATGGGCTTTCGGAACTTCGGGGATAAGGCACTGTTAGAAGATTTGATAATTCTTGGTGGTTGTAGCCTATCCACATCGCTTATTTTTGCTCTTGGCTTAGGAAGTGGTAGCCTCAAAACTGCCTGATGTTTTCGCTTCTTGTGAGTGACTAGAATCCAACCCTCATCGTCTTTGTCTTTGGAGTGATTGTCTAGCTCTAGTGAACCTTCAAGAGTTTTTCTTGGAAGAACAACTTCAACGGGCTCGAAACTTCCAAATTGTAAGAAGGCAGTGCTTGACACGTTATGCAACTTTGAACACTTCTTTTCCTTGAGCGCGATACTTGCATGGTTTGCTTCTGCTGTTTCATCCATGTCTATGATGATTTTTCCTTCACTTACAAGAGCCATAATTTTCTCCTTTAAGACGAAGCATTTCTCTGTAGGGTGGCTAATGACGCGATGAAACTTGCAGTATTTCGGATCGCCAACTTTGCCAATTTCCTCTGGCCTTTTTGATTCAGGGAGATCGATGACTTTCTTGCCCAGCAGTTCATCAAGGATGGTGGGTACGTCTGAATCTGGAAATGGATAAACCTTCGCCTCTAATTCCTTCAAGGTGGGACGACGCTTCTCCTCTTTGGGATATTGACTCGGGGTCTTATCCTCCTTCACTTTTTGCTTAGTAGTGACCTTCACAGAAGTTGCTTTCACCGCCATTGATTCTTTGGTTTGGTTTTTTTATGCAACATTTTTCTTGAACTCCTTTTGATCAGCAAATGGAGATGCCTTTCCATGACTTGCGATGCTTAACTCCATGTCGTGCGCTCGTGTTGCAAGTTCTTCAAAAGTTCGCGGTTTGATCCCTTGTAGAATGTACAAAGGCCCCAGTGCATTCCTTGAATGCACATTTCCACAGCAGATATTTCTGAAAGGCGATCTTTGCAGTCCAAACTTAACGCCCTCCAACGATTAATGTAATCCACCACGGGCTCGTCCTTCCTTTGCTTGGTGCCTGTCAACTCTATCATGCTTACAGTTCTTCGGGTACTGTAAAAACGATTGAGGAATTCCTTCTCAAGTTACTCCCAGCTATCAATGGACTCGGGCTCCAAGTCAATATACCAGTCAAATTCGTTCCCTTTTAGAGAACGAACAAATTGTTTTACCAAAAGGTCACCATGTGTTCCAGCATTGCTACAAGTCTCGACAAAGTGGGCAATATGTTGCCTTGGGTTCCCTTTGCCATCAAATTGATGCAGCTTTGGTGGTTGATAATTGGTTGGCATGGTTAAAAAATCAATCCTCTTAGTATAAGGCTTAGAGTAGTACAACGAACTTTGCGATGGTCCGCCATATTGAGCTCTGATGGTGTTTGTTATCATGTCTTGCAATTGTTGGACAGATAACGCCGCAACTGAAGTAGATTGATTTTCCTTTTGGATGTTTAACTTTGCAAATGATTCCTCAATAACTGTTTTCTGGGAGGTGAAGACAGGTGAACGAGGAGGGACATGGCTCGACTCTCCAGGTGCATAGGCCTCCAATTTGTTCATGAGTTGAGCGATTTGAAGGTCTTTGTCTTCAACAGATTTCTTCAAGACCTCTATAGTCTGTTCCATCATGGCAAACTTTTCGTCCACGTTAGTTGCATCAGTCATCAAGGCATTGACTTTCGTTGAAACTGAAGAATCCACCAAAATCCTCAAATCCGCCAAGGTTTGAGGTTGTTGGAGAAAGTTCGTCAAACATCGAGAATGGGGTGTTGCCCCCAGAGATTGCGGTTGCGAACGTCATATGAGATCTGCTTTTCTTTGCCATCTCCAAGGAGGCGAAGTATTCGGACCCATCCAAGCCACTAGCCTTGAACTTGCTTCGAGTGATTGGGCCAACATGACTGAGCTGAGCGGATGCGACAACAGTAGCATCTTTGCATGAAATATCACATTTGTAGAAGGCCATTCTAGCAGTAGATCTGAAGTTTATAGTTTTCAACTTGCAAGAAGGAGAGATGAAGGGCAGAATTTGTCCCACTGGGCGTGCCAAAATTTGTTTGCAACAAATTTTCGTAAGACGAAAAATAAACTGCAACAAAAATAATATAAAGAAAAAGAGATTTTATTGATAAATATTTGTGAGTACAATTCTATGTATCCCTTGATTCTCCTATCTAAAATTCCCCGTGATTCGAGGGCTTGAGAAGCGTATTTCTCGAATGTTGGATAATGCAGATCTCCTTGTGATGTATTTAATCGCCAAGAACGTCGAGCAGCACTTTGTTGTTACGGGTTGATCTCCGGGAAGAACTCCGTTGATCACTCCTTTGTTGAAGAACTAGGCAGTTGATGATTGATCTCTATGTTTGTGAATGCCCTTACCAATTGCGGAGTGTTCTTCTCCAACTCTGAATGTTCCTTGAGAGTTATGTAACCCCTCTATTTATAGTTGTAGAGGATGGACACTCAAGCTACATAAGACCTCTCTTGCTTGATTCTGATTGGCCCATGTCATTTTAGCCACTTGGCGACTTGTGGTTGGTTCTTGCTTTTTTGACTTGGATTGCCACATCATTTAACACGTGGCGTCATCTTTTTGGCTTGCAGTTTGACTGGACATGCCACGTCACATGGCATGAGTTTGGGCCTCAAGATGAAATGGACCTTGGGCTTAAAAATATTAAAATGGACTTATTTAATTTGTAAAGTTCAAATTAATTATTCGACTCAAAGTAATTTAGAATTTAATCCAAA